GTAGAACACTGGTTGCCACACTTCCCAGATTTTTTTGCTTTTCACGAGTTGTGCTTGGTCAGTCACGATCTTTGAAGATCTTTAAGCCTATTTTCATTTCAGCTCATGGCTTCCGGAACTTGTTTTAGTTCGTCACCTTCCAAATTGGAGATGAAAATGCTAGGTATAAGCCTGGCCTCAATACAACAAGCGGTGAAAGAAGTTATTCTTTCGAAATTTGTGAGTTCTTAGATATCGAATCAAGAAAGTACTTTTGCAGGACACGGATTGTGCCTACTGTNCACATTTCATACAAGGAAAGGAGGTATTTTAATATTTACTAGTAGGTTTATATATTGTTTGTTGCAGTGTTATGTGCCGGATACATAGCGATACGATTGAAGAGGATCATATAAAGATTCTGAATAAGATCCTCCATAATGGGGGTCTGAAGAAAAAAGATGAAAAGCTGATCAGCGGTAAGAGTTGCGTGTTCAATTGTAGATTGTGCCCACTCGTTATCAACTTCGTAATTGATTCCTGTTGGCTGGGTAGGCGGTTTTGCGATACCATTGGAGTTACCGCTCACTCTTTCACTCTTGCTTCCCTCGTTTCTTGATTGTTTTAATAAACCCTTATCATATTTTTTTTGTTGTTTATTAACAACGCATTGTGAGTTAAGATGAAGATGATTCAGATGTTACCTCGAATCTTCACTCCGATCATAGCTCAATCGATCGACGTCTCCAAAGTTAAAGCCAGGCATTGTTGCCTCACAGTGGTCAACATTAATGCTGTTGATAAGACGATCTTGAGTCGGAGACCTGAAAACCTTAGGATGAATAATTCGTTCATACATTTAGCATACTGGACTTTTTCTTTGTTTGCAAGTGTCAAGATAAAGAGGAATAATGGTTGGGAATGCAAAACCTACAATTCTTCTCTCACAGGTAACAACTCCATATTTCCAAACCCATCAGATTCTTCGCTGAATAGATTTTCGCGTTTTTCTTCAAGAGATTCTGCTTCACTATCTTAATGAACGAGGAACGTTTGAAAAACATCGCAAATGTTACCCGCTCTGGTTAATAAACGGCTTACGTTTGAAGGGCTCGAATTTTCATCATCATTACTAAGATAATATTTAAAGTAATAACAGATCGTAAATCATACCTATCATTAACATATATGCCCTGCATCGCTATTTGT